AGGCTCTTTTTTTTTTTTTTTTTACATTGGATCCACAAAGACTTGTGTTTGGTGCTTTCAGGATTCAGAGCAATGTTGGTATAAAGCCAGTTAGAGGAAAATATCTCTACTTAATTCAATAAACATGATTAGTATAGTTTTATAAACACTGAATATTGCAGATTTATCACAACTCTAGGGCTACTGCACTCAAGTGGCATAAAATAGTATTACTGGATTCAAATGATAGTTTTCTTTTTATTAAAATACCATCATTTCTTATTGGGCATTACACAGAAAACCAGACACTAACTGGTTTGTTGTTAACAAATTGTATTCACTTTTCTTTACACTGGTGAAAATTCTCATTCATCCAGGTCTTGACAAATAAAAAAATAAAATAAACAATGGTTAGACCCCCGCCCCCCAACAACTAGACTTCTATTCTGAAGCTGAATATGTTTTGCTTCCTGTCCAGGAGGCTTTATAAAAAATAATTTTAATAAAAAATATTTTAATTAATAAGCTACTTTATTAAAAACAAAACAAACAAAAAAAAAGAACCCAATTTGAAAAAAAAATTCTTATTATTATTTTTTTTAAATTGATCAAATCTCCCGGATGGGAAGCGAAACATCTTCAGCTTCAGAATAAAAGTCCAGTTTTTTTTTTTTTTTAGTTTTTAACCCTTTTAAAAACTTTATATACAAAATTTAATTTAAAGGGAATGGTTTATGATAAAAAATATGACTCATAAGAGTATGTGAGTTGTTCTTAGTTTGTAACTTTTTTGTGTGTTTCAATGTTTTAGACACTGATGCATGCATTTAAAAATTCTAAACACCTAAGTGACACTGTTGAAAACTTGTTGACATAATGTTTTGTGTACACATTCATAAGGTAAAACTTGTTTTAAGGATTTACATTTTTAAAATTAGACAAGAACACATCATATTAAATGCTAGGAGTCAGCTTGCATGTGCTAAAAGTAAAACCTCTTTGTTTGTTTCTGGTTTTGTAAAGTTTTGCCTCCTTTCTGAAATCATCCATCATCACAATAAACATTGACTTATTTATTTGTGCTCTTTTCAATCAAACATAGGTAATTCTACTGTATATCATTCAAAACTGTGCAATTTTGTAAACAAGTTTAGTTGTTTTGATAAATGTGCCACTCAAAGATGCTGCGATTCTTATAGTCAACAAATCCTAAACGTAAAATAACAAACAATAATACCACTATATATATATATATATATATATATTACTTTTATGATTTGCCACTACTGTAAGAACAGCTACTTTATCCAGAAACTATTTGGCACTTTCCTGCAGAACTCAAATAAAAAGCAATAATTAGTCCACCTAAATACTTCTTCACTCTATTATAATCTGTCATTCATCTAAATGCCACATTTAATTAAATTAGTACATTGTTCAAGTCAGCCTGTGATAGATTATTGTCTCAGGAGTAATGAGATTCTCCATGAAGCTTTAGGCTGATGATGTGTTTTGTTATATTATGGAAAGCATGAAGGATAAAACAGCTGATAAGAGTTGGCTGTAAACAGAGCAGGTCTCTTGTGGCCTTGTGTGTTGCAGTGAACTCTAGTGGTAAATCTTGTCATGCACAGTAAAACTATTATGGTGCTACCTCTTTTTGCTGCTGAGCAGAAGACTTGTGACCACATATGAACTCCATTTAGTGAACTGGTTACCTTTTCAATAAACCTGAAACCTTTAAAGATCATGGCAAAAAGGACTTGAATTGTGGTTTTTAATGTCAAATGCAACATTGATCCTACCAATAATCATTTTGTTTTTGCCTGCATGTGCATTTCCAATTAAAGCTACATACAGCTCTGATTATAACACATGCTGTGTAGTTATCTTTAATGCTGTGATAGTTTACCTCAGAGACTGCTGCAGCTCTCTCGCCCTCTCCTGTTTCCATTCCTCTCTTGGCATTCGGCTGATCCACACTGACATTTACAATGAAAGAGCCACGAGTATGTGCCTAAGCTTTTGTGCATTTTGACACTGATTTTAACACCCTTTATGGCATCTTTTACGTAATGCCCTTCTTGCATTACCTTACTGACAATAACAGAACATTTTGTGCACGCTTAATATAGCTGACGTTTATTGTAGCTGAAAAAATAAAAACAGCATTATCTCTGTATGAAACCACTCGGAGCAGTTGTCAGTAAACAACAACAAAAATTGCAATTGCAAAAACCAACAAAGTCCATGCTCAATAATCCAGGTATACAATCCAACAATTTTCAGTCTGGTCATCAGGACAGTTTTTTTTTTTTTTTTTCTCAATTTCAATTTAAATACATGTCCAGATGACCTGACTGAAAATTGTTGCAATTGCAAAAAGATTTTCTTATTTTTCTAGAAAAAAGTTCTGTTTAAAGAGGAAATTATGTCTCATAGCATATATGTGAACTCTCTATGGTCAATAAACTTAAATAAAATATCAGCATTATCTCTTTAGGAAATTAAGAATTAATTCTGCAGACGTGCAATGACATATAATTTAAGCAAAAACTTGTATTTGTGGCAAAAACTTCTTTAGCTGCAGTATGATAAATAAAATATCCAAATTAAACGTAGATTAAACATTCCTACAATGCACATTCATATTTGTAGGTGAGTAAAATCACCATTCTGCCACTTCAAGTTGACTAGAAAACTTCTGAATGAATTCTTGTGATCTCTAAACTGTCTTTGCAGCTCATATATTTACAAAGTATAAAACTGAAGCATTAGTGGAAGTTGTCCAATATGAGTTTAGTCGATACCAAGAAGTTTGTCAAAGTGCAGCCACAGACTGTGCCTACATGCCGACGGGAAGGGGAAGAACGGAGGAGACCTCTCAGACGAGGAGTTGAGTTTCATAGCTGCCACACGCTTTCAGCCCAGAAGTTTCCGTGGGAAAATGAAGCCTGAGCTGTCAGCTGGGATGAAGTGTGCAGCAGAGACTGCAGAGGTGACTGGACACTCACTAGACAGCACATGTCTCCCAGTGCTCCCCGGGACATTGTGTTCCCATTTCAGGAGGGGGTGCTCCATTTTTAACAGCTGCTGTCTCAGTGCCAAACAAATGCCCTGACACGGGTCATTTAAGTCACATTGAGGAGGGAATAAATAAGAATAAAGCATGTTTACATTAAAGGGCAGATTTTGCATATTCTATTTTATGTGTTCTTTCTGGCTTACAAGGAAAATGACAGTTATTGCAACTTAATTATTTGATTAGGATTTATTTATTTATTTGTTTACTTGCGTGCCCTGAGACGACTTCTGTTGTGACTCGGTGGTGCTACATAAATAAACGGAATTGAAATTAAATTACTTTATTTGCTCAATAGCATCCAATACTGAATGTTGGGATTGTTTTCAAGAAAATATGTATTTACAAAAAACACATGTGGGTGTTCAATTAATTACCTACAACCATGTATTGATATAACATATTATTTAAAGCAGCCAGTTAAAGCTGCAGTGAGAAACGAATTAGCAGAGCAGCAGTAAATTAATTGTAGTTATATGAATTATTACTGACTTGTTTGTTGGGAGAGAAAATATTTTTAGGTTGTATATTTTCTCAACACAAATTCCCAACTATAAATATTTACAGCTGTTGTGGCAGTTATTGAAAATATCATGGCAACGTGTTTTTCCAGTGGTTAGTGTTCTGTTTTGAGTTTTTTTATTTTCATGTTTATTTTTATGGCGTTTAGTTTTGTTATTTTCTTTGTGTTTAGTTAGTCCCTTGCTTCCCTGTGTTTCTGTCATTTCCATTAAATTTCCACACTTAGTCTCTGCTCTTCTTTCCATATCCATCACCTGCACCTGCACCTCTGCACTCCCTGGGCCCAGCCTCAACCGTGACAGAATATTAAATAATTCATCCATCCATCCATTATCTTTGACCTGCTTCTTCCATTTTGGGTCACGGGGGTCGCCGGTGCCCATGTCCGGCAATCACTGTGCGAGGGGCGGGGTACACCCTGGACAGGTCTCCAGTCCATCACAGGGACACATAGAGACAAACGAGACAAACAACCATTCACTCTCTCACTCACACCTATAGGGACAATTTAGTTACCAATTAGCCTAACATGCATGTTTTTGGTCTGTGAGAGTACTCAGAGAAACCCACCCTTGCACAGACAGAACATTCAAACTCCCCCCAGAAAGGCCAGGATTTGATCCTGTGACCTCCTCGCTGAGAGGCAACAGCTCTAACTGAGCCACCATGTCACCCTTGATTTAATATACTGTATTTTTTATCATCAACTGTGAGTTTTGGCATTTTGCTAGTGTGGAGCACACAGGTGTGTGTTAGCAAAATGTCAAGGAGGAAGGACATCAGCAAGACCTTGGAGAATCAACTGTTGTTACCCATCACTTTGGGAAGGAGGATCAAATGTTATTATTCTACAGCGAGAACAATTATTAATTTAAATAAAATATTTTAGAACAGTTGTCAGTTTTCTGTAAGAGGACACCTCAGCAGAATTACCCCATCGTCATCTCAGACTGTACAGTCCTCTGGTAGCAAGTTAAAGGGTAAAGTTCATGACAGGAAAATTAGAAAAAGACTGAGCAAGTTTAGTTTGTTAGGCAGGGTATAGTCAGAAGAACAGGTAGTTTTTTATTTTTTATTCCATCCATCCATCCATCCATCCATCCATCCATCCATCCATCCATCCATCCATCCATCCATCCATCCATCCATCCATCCATCCATCCATCCATCCACACAT